TTACCAGAGGATATCCCTCGTAGCTAAGCTGATGACCACGGTGTTGTTTTTTCAGCGTGGCGGCGTGGAGGAGGTTTTTCCGTACCCACGAACTGCAGAGCCAAAACGGCGCGAAAACGTTGCTGGTGGTACGGTTGGTGATGCCCCCAATCCTTAGCTAAGTTGGTTTAGTTGGACTAACTAGGGTATATGGTAGATAGATATATATATATATATATATATCCATGATATTTAGTCAAAGGAAGTTGGGAAGCAATTTCCGAGTTACGAATGACTTTTTACTTGGTGCAATTGACTATGATGAAGGGTGGTAGATCCTGTACCAATACATAATGTACCAATACATCACAAACCAATAAGAAGCAATGAAATTGACCTTGAGGAAGGGTGGTAGATCATATAACAATACATAATATAACAATACACAATGTACCAATACATAACAAAAGAATAAGAAGCTATGAAATTGACCTTGAGGAAGTGATGATGAAGGGGAGTGGTGACGAAGGGAAGCGGTGAAGAAGGGAAGTGATGATGAAGGGGAGTGGTGACGAAGGGAAGTGGTGAGGAAGGGAAGTGGTGACGAAGGGAAGTGGAGAGGAAGGGAAGTGATGATGAAGGGGAGTGGTGAGGAAGGGAAGTGGTGACGAAGGGAAGTGGTGACGAAGGGAAGTGGTGACGATGGGAAGTGGTGACGATGGGAAGTGGTGAGGAAGGGAAGTGGTGAGTTGGGGAGGAAGCCGGAGCACGAAACCTTGTGTTTTTCCGTGTAAAGTGGCTGCAGGCGACGATGAAAGGTACCTCGTCTGTGCGGCGGGTGCGGCTGCGGTCGGTTTATTTTTTTTTTGCCGCAGTGTAACGGTGGCTTCAAGCTGCTTTGGGTGTGCTTGTGTGTGCGTAGTTATAGGGTGTTTTGGAATCTGTGCTTGCAGATCGCATTGGAATGGCTGCATGATGTTGCAAGGGCTCTGTTGTGGGGAGGAAGCCGGAGCACGAAACCTTGTGTTTTTCCGTGTAAAGTGGCTGCAGGCGACGATGAAAGGTACCTCGTCTGTGCGGCGGGTGCGGCTGCGGTCGGTTTGTCGTTTTTTTTTTGCCGCAGTGTAACGGTGGCTTCAAGCTGCTTTGGGTGTGCTTGTGTGTGCGTAGTTATAGGGTGTTTTGGAATCTGTGCTTGCAGATCGCATTGGAATGGCTGCATGATGTTGCAAGGGCGCTGTTTTGGGGAGGAAGCCGGAGCACGAAACCTTGTGTTTTTCCGTGTAAAGTGGCTGCAGGCGACGATGAAAGGTACCTCGTCTGTGCGGCGGGTGCGGCTGCGGTCGGTTTATCGTTTTTTTTTTGCCGCAGTGTAACGGTGGCTTCAAGCTGCTTTGGGTGTGGTTGTGTGTGCGTAGTTATAGGGTGTTTTGGAATCTGTGCTTGCAGATCGCATTGGAGTGGCTGCGTCAAGGTTGCTTGCCGCCGCGGCTGCATGCGTAATACTATTGTCTTTTGCAGCTGAAGATTGTAAATCGTATTGGAGTGGCTGCATCCAGGCTGCGATAGTCAATTGTCAGCAGATTTTCCCAATTTTGGCGCTAATAATTTTCCTTTTAAAATTCCTTTTAAAAAGTGCTTCAAAATCGTCTTTTTTTCACTTTGGCGTCGAGATCCGGTTTTGGAGCTGCAATTTCCGACGCCATTGCACGTAGTTCTATTGTGTTTTGCAACTCAGTCTCTGCAGATCGCATTGGAGTGGCTGCGTCAAGGTTGCTTGGTGCAGCGGCTGCATGCGTAATACTATTGTCTTTTGCAGCTGAAAATTGTAAATCGTATTGGAGTGGCTGCATCCAGGCTGCGATAGTCATTTGTCAGCAGATTTTCCCAATTTTGGCGCTAATAATTTTCCTTTTAAAATTCCTTTTAAAAAGTGCTTCAAAATCGTCTTTTTGTCGCTTTGGCGTCGAGATCCGGTTTTGGAGCTGCAATTTCCGACGCCATTGCACGTAGTTCTATTGGGTTTTGCAACTCAGTCTCTGCAGATCGCATTGTAGTGGCTGCGTCAAGGTTGCTTGGTGCAGCGGCTGCATGCGTAATACTATTGTCTTTTGCAGCTGAAGATCGTCAATCGTATTGGAAAATGGCTGCATCAAGGCTGCTAAAGTGATTTGTCAGCAGATTTTCTCAATTTTGGGGCTAATAATTTTCCTTTTAAAATTCCTTTTAAAAAGTGCTTCAAAATCGTCTTTTTGTCGCTTTGGTGTCGAGATCCAGTTTTGGAGCTGCAATTCCTGTTGTGATTATGTACAAGAAAGCTTCTCTGTGCAAAAACTTTTTCTGTAAAAGCTTGCTGTGTGTAAAAGCTTCTCTGTGTGTAAAAGAGTCTCGGTGTAAAAGTTTCTGTGTGTGTAAACGCTTGCCATGTGTAAAAGCACTATGCGTAAGTGTTCTGTGTGTAAACGCTTGCTGTGTGTGAAAGCTTGCTGTGTGTAAAAGCTTCTCTGTGTAAAAGCTTGTTGTGTGTAAAAGCTTCTCTGTTTAAAAAGTTTTCTGTGTGTGTAAACGCTTGCCATGTGTAAAAGCACTGTGTGTAAGTGTTCTGTGTGTAAACGCTTGCTGTGTGTGAAAGCTTGCTGTGTAAAAGCTTCTCTGTGGAGAAGCTTGCTGTGTGTGAAAGCTTGCTGTGTAAAGCTTCTCTGTGTAAAAGCTTGTTGTGTGTAAAAGCTTCTCTGTTTAAAAAGCTTGCTGTGTGTGTAAACGCTTGCCATGTGTAAAAGCACTGTGTGTAAGTGTTCTGTGTGTAAACGCTTGCTGTGTTTGAAAGCTTGCTGTGTGAAAAAGATTTTGCGTGTAAAAGCTTGCTGTGTGTAAAAGCCTCTCTGTGTGTAAAAGCGTCTCTGTGCAAAAGTTGCTGTGTGTAAACGCTTGCCATGTGTAAAAGCACTGTGTGTAAGTGTTCTGTGTGTAAACGCTTGCTGTGTGTGAAAGCTTCTCTGTGAAGAAGCTTGTTGTGTGTAAAAGCTTCTGTGTGTAAAAGCTTCTCTGCTTGAAAAGCTTGCTGTGTGTAAAAGCTTCTCTGCGAAAGAACTTGATGTGTGTAGAAGCTTTGTAGTACAAAGTAGTACTGGAACGTGTTTTGTGCAAGCTTTGTAGTACAAAGTAGTACTGGGTGTTTTGTGCAAGCTTTGTAGTACAAGTGTACTGGGAAGTGCTTTGTGCAAGCTTTAGTACAAAGTAGTACAAGCAAGCTTTGTAGTACAAAGTAGTACTGGGAAGTGCTTTGTGCAAGCTTTGTAGTACAAAGTAGTACTGGGAAGTGTTTTGTGCAAGCTTTGTAGTACAAAGTAGTACTGGGAAGTAGTTTGTGCAAGCTTTGTAGTACAAAGTAGTACTGGGAAGTGCTTTGTGCAAGCTTTGTAGTACAAAGTAGTACTGGGAAGTGTTTTGTGCAAGCTTTGTAGTACAAAGTAGTACTGGGAAGTGCTTTGTGCAAGCTTTGTAGTACAAAGTAGTACTGGGAAGTGTTTTGTGCAAGCTTTGTAGTACAAAGTAGTACTGGGAAGTGTTTTGTGCAAGCTTTGTAGTACAAAGTAGTACTGGGGAGTGCTTTGTGCAAGCTTTGTAGTACAAAGTAGTACTGGGAAGTGGTTTTTGCAAGCTTTTGTAGTAGACATCAGTACTGGGAAGTACTTGACATAAAAATAGCCAAGAAGAACTTAGCTGACATGTGGGAAGACATGGAATGAGATGAGAAGAGCTCAGATGAGTTGAGATGAAGTGCAAGTGTGAAGTGTGGAGTGTGGGGTGTGAAGAGTGCAATGTGAAGTGTGAGGAAAGTGTTTGCATTGTACCGGGGTCGCGCGCAGGTCATGTTCTTGGACAGCAACACTGCAACCGCTTCGCACAAAGCACGCACGCACGGGCCTGGCTGGCGCACGGCGCATGCAAGTTCCTTAGTAGTAGTACTGGGAAGTGATTCATGAAAGCTTAGGTGACATATGAGAAGAGATGAGATGAGAAGAGACGAGCTGGGATAAGGTGAGAAGAGCTCAGATGAGATGAAGTGTGGAGTGTGAAGAGTGCAGTGTGAAGTGTGGGGCGCGAAGAGTGCAGTGTGAAGTGTGGAGTGTGAAGAAAGCAATGAGAAGTGAGAAGTGTGAAGTGTGAAGTGTGGAGTGTGAAGTGTGAAGTGTGGATTGGGAAGAGTGCAGTGTGAAGTGAGAAGTGTGGAGTGTGAAGTGTGAAGTGTGCAGTGTGGAGTGTGAAGAGTGCAGTGAGAAGTGTGAAGGGCGAAGTGGAGCTTCAAATGTGACATGTGAAACAGGACACCACTTTCGCAGAGTGCACGCACGCACGGGCTTGGCTGGCGCACGGCGCATGCAAGTTCTATAGATGAGAAAGGTCTTTTATATATCTTTAAGGCAACTTCCGCCCCGCCTCGTGCGGGTACTACTGGTATTTATATATATATATATATGTATATATACATAGATAGATACATAGATAGATAGATAGATAGATAGACAGATAGATAGATAGATAGATAGATCGATCGATCGATAGATAGATAGATAGATGGGTTTATAAACTAACCTTCACTGGGAGGAACCACTTCGTCCAAGCCCCACTTCAACTTGGGATGCCTCTGCATGATCCTAGCCAGAACCCATGCAGATCTTAGGTTTCACCATGTCTCACAATGTCTCACATATCACTATTAGTACCATCTGGTTATTTAACAGTTTGCCATGGAAAATCACCATTTTTAATAGGTAAACCATCTATAAATGAGTCATTTCCCATCAATATGTTAAATAACCAGAGGGTACATACTGGTACTATATGGATTTCTGAAGAATTGTGTGTTTTTTCTGTTAAGGAAACAAACTCGAGATGTTTTTTTTCTATAAATATCGCATGATCTACCACCTTCATTCCATGTGTATACAGTATATCAGTAATATCCCATCATTTCCCTTGATCATCCCACACTCATCCCATTGTAATCACCCCTTTTTGCCACATAACATGCTCCACTGTCACAACCGAAACCGTTTTTTAGTCATGGCTATGCTCAGAGTTCATCATCCTCAAAGTCTCCCTTGAGCCTCAGCATGGGATTCATATATATATATATTCAATTGAATGATTTGAATGGCTGACCATTCAGTTTTTTTTGGGGGAAAGAGTTGTTCACTCGCAATCAATCCCGGAATGAATGATCAAATTTGGGTGGCAGGGCAGGATCAAACACAGCAAAGATCGGGCATTGTCCAGAATCGTCTTCGCCAATCCAAGAGAACCCCATCGAATTAAGGTATCGAAGAGATGTCTTGAGACACCAATATCTGTGGCAAAGTCGTTTCTGGTTTACCATCTGGGTATTTAACATAGCCATGGAAAATGGCCCATTTATAGATGATGTTCCCATTAAAACCTCCATTTATAAGGGATTTTCCATGGCTATGTTAAATAACCACATGGTAAACGTAAAAAGTGCAGTATGTTCAGACACCACTTGCCACTGCTTAAGGTGGAACATAGTGGAACTGCTTTTTTGGTTTCCAAGTCTGATGTCGAAAATTAAATCAACAAAATGGACCAATCATATGCCAAATGCCAAAGCGACCAAAATCTGCGACTCATTGAATTGATGTAAGAGAACATCTACAAACCATGGCTCTCAGGCCAGTTTTTAGGATGGAAACGATGGAAAGCCAAGGTTTCTTGGAATTTGGTTTAGATTCAGCCCATAGAAACAAGTTCTTACCATGAACCCTAGTCTGGTTGGTGGTTTCAACCCCTCTGCAAAATATGACAGTCAGTTGGGCTTATTATTTCCAATATATGGAACAAATCATGTTCCAAACAACCAACCAGATATAGTTATAAATATCATAAACCATAGTCATTGTAGTTATGCTCACCAACCACCAACCAGCTAGTTATTGTACTAGCAATGACTATAGACTATAGTCATGTTCACCAACTCTTTCTCCAACAAGGCTTCCAGAACCACAGCGACATGCGCTTAGCGGGGGCACATGGCGTTCATAGCGCTGGCATAGCTGGACCCAGTTGGTTGATCCTTGGCCTGTGGTTGGACACGGACAGAAACTGCCTGACGTCAACCCGGGTCGATCATTAACGTTTCATACATTGTTGATCATATGTAAACATTTATTAATATATATATATATATATATATTATCATTAACACATATATATATATATATCATATGGTTGATAATTACCATCTGGAAATTTAACAGTTTGCCATGGAAAATCACCATGCTATTAAGAACGGTAAACCGTCTATTTCTATGGGCCATTTTCCATGGCTATGTTAAATAACCTCAGGGTATATGATATAGATAGTTTATACATGATTACATTTATATATATATATATACATACATATATATATATATATGTGTGTGTGTGTTAATGATTGATGATATTGAGAAAACAATGGTATTACTGAACATGTAATATGATTGAACATATGCCATAAATATAAATAAGCATATGACATGTCAGTCACACTATATGATTAAATATGTCAGTCAAAATCTGTCAATATTTCGATATTCCAAACCCTCCACTCTGGTAAACTAACATAGCTATGGAAAATCACCATTTTTGATGGGTAAATCCACTATAAATGGCAATTTTCAATTGTTTTTTGTATGTTTACCGGAGGGTAATCCTTGCTTTAAATAAATTTCAATAAACCATGTATCCACATCCCGACTTCGTGCCGGTGATGTCCAACACCTTCAAAATCGAGGGATCTTCCGGGTCGGTGAACCCTGGCTTCGCCTCGTTACCTCCAATGTTGCCATAGAGATCGTCCTGGGGGTCTGCCCATGCATAGGGAAAATAGATACCCCAAGGTGACCCATAGCTCCTAAACATTTCCTGCTAACCACTGAACAGTAAAGACTGCTTGACCTCAAACACCTACTTGGGACTGCTGTTTTGGGGTCATAATAGGGGGTACAGCAATGGTTGAAACAACCATAAAATGGGATATAAGCCCCAATAACTTGGGTTATGTGTCACCTTATATATAATTGGAACTGTACCCTTGTGATTGGCCATGGCTGGCCTAGTTTAGTACAGTAGATGATTTCAGCCCTGTTCCAAGCGGTTAAGGGATCACTTAGAGCACCGGAAAGTGGATCACTTAGAGCACCGGATCACTTAGAGCACCATGGGATCACTTAGAGCACCAGAGAATGAGACCTTTAGGGTAACACTTGGGGACACGGGGCTGGGACATGGGGTGGGTTTAGGGGACCAGCATGGTGGAATGAGACCTTTAGGGTAGCACTTGAGGACACGGTGGGTTTAGGGGACAAGTGGGGACACGGGGCTGGGACATGGGGTGGGTTTAGGGGACCAGCATGGTGGATTACATTATATAGAGAACATGATATACAGACCTTTAGGGTTTGACTTGGGGACACGGGGCTGGGACATGGGATGGATTTAGGGGACCAGCATGGTGGAATGGGACCTTTAGGGTTTGACTTGGGGACACGGGGCTCATGGTGGATTACATTAGAGCACCAGGGAATGAGACCTTTAGTCGCACACCGGTGTGATGAAATATAGGAAATACAGAAATAAATCAATAGATAAATAACATAAAGAATTAATATATATATATATGTGTATATATATATATGTGTATATGTATAAATGTATATATATATATATATATATATATATATCATATACTGTCATTTACGTCTCCCGGATATGCATGTTGAAGGTGCTCCTTCAAGTAACTTGCCAGATGTTCCTGATACGTTGTATGATGCTCTTCCAGCGCCGAAAAGCGGATCGCGTGGAATGTATATCTGCGTGCATCTGCCCATGTGACTACCTGCGTGCTTCAGCGACATATGAATGCATCCATTTATGTGTCTATATGCCTCTGTGTATATATGCAACTCTAGCGCTATGCATCTCTTATGTCACTTTTCGGCGTTCCAAGCGATCCACTTTTCGGCGTTCCAAGCGATCCACTTTCCGGCGCTCTAAGCGATCCACTTTTCGGCGCTCCAAGCGAGCCCCCGACCGTTCCAAGCGCCAGTCAGGTGCCAGAATCACAATTAACCATCAAACTGTCATACACAATTGTTTATGATGGTTTATTACATGGTTTTGCCCATGAATGGAGCACAATATACCCAAAATGACCAATCAAATAAAGAACAGTGTCTTCCAAACCATTTCACTTTCCTGTGTGCCATATGTTGTTTCAGAAAATTTAATCAAATTATCCCAAGATAAACCAACTTGATACCGTCTCCGTGTCGAGGTCTTCCTCCTCTGACGGGAGAGGCTTCTCAGTGACAATGGAACTTTCAGGCCTTGGAACGATGGGATTTATCCATATGCTGGATTGTTTTTGGCCAATAAAACCTTACCCTCTGGTTATTTGTTACATAGCCATGGCAGTTACAGCCCATAGAAATAGATGATTTCTCATGGAGGGTAATATGTAGGGATATGATATATATATATATACATACACACATAATAGTATGAATTTAATTGGGATATGTCATGGGATATATAACCAACTTAAATGATAGAATATGAGAACCCCCCAGATATGTCTGTTGGTTTACAAGCCCATCTTACTATGGAAAACTGTGCATATATCACTAGGCCAACTTAGCAAAGTAGCAGGTCAAAACCAAAGCCTGGGTAGTCTCAAATAGCCTGGAACAACAATAATTTTGGCTGCGCAGTATTTGCGGAATATATGGCTAACATCTCAGCCACAAAGCTACCCAACCACGGCCCACTCAAAGAGTTACTCAACGGACTATGGGGAAGGGCCGTTTGGGTCTGTTCATCATCATTTGGCCCATTGAACGGCCATTTTGGGAGTTAACCCACGATGTTCAGTCACATTCAAAAACCACATCAGTGGTGATATATCTCATGATATCCGCATTTTCCCTAGTCAAATGCCCATTTAGCCTAGTCAAATCACCAAGGTTCAAACACACCTAAAGATAAAGTTGTTGGTAGTATATCACCACTACATCCCCATGACATCCCCATTAATTGTTGGTTATGCTGTCCATGTCGTGGCACTTTCCAAGAGCCCCGACACGACAGGTGTCATAGGTGTCACTGGCGTCGCAGGTGTCAGTGGAGCCACTGGTTTCGCAACGGGCCTAGCTGGGTGACGTGCCTTTACGGTTCGTGCAATGTGGGGCAACCGAGTTATAAGTTGGTTTGTCATCCTATTTAAGCATTTTTGTTTGAGCCAGAGTACACGTCAGCAGCGCATGAAAAAAGAGCACTAGCTGCGAGAAAAAGGAGGCAACCTACTATCACACCAAGCTAGGGTGACTTTCACAATGCTGCCGTGTGTCAAACCCAATCAAAAACAATCCCATTTTTCCCAACCATTTGGGGGTGACATCATCCCTTTCTGAGGGGTATACACCCCACCCATTTACATCTATTGGGGACGGCTAAATCCACCAGCTATACTTCAATTGATGTTTTTGATGTGTTGACCCCTGGCATGTTTAGCAAATGCTTGGTAACTGCCAAGAACAACACACTTGTGGAGGGTGCCTACATTTGCAACCATCAATAACCATCAATCCAAACTTTGCTGATCAATGCACAACTGACCCTTTTGCTTGATGTTTGGCCAATCAATAGGCTCATAGTCATACTTTGTCGTACGAACCAAGTCTAGCCATATCAGGTCACTTTTTGAAACACTCCAAGCCAGGATAGAACATGTGAAAATCCAATAAATTCACTACTATCTTTTCTGATTCGTTTTTCATTTGTTGATCAAACTGTCTATTCTTTTCCCCTGGCTGCTTGCAGCACGCTGAGGTGTTGACGGCGCTGCGAGCCTGAGAGTTGCATGTGATGAGGAATGGTTGAGAAGGCAGCAAACACCTTGTGAAGATGTCAACCCAGCAATATTATGGATAATACGTAATATATACATATACACATGGATAAATCTTAGAGATCACATTTTGGGATAGTCTTAGATATCCTGCATAAATATACGCGGTTGTAGCATGTTGTACCTGGTTTCTAGATATCCCAGTTTGAAACACCAGCCATGCAACGATGGACCCAAATATCTCATCATTGTTTCACGCCAAAGATTGGGAATCACTAGACCATTTTTATGCAGTTGTAGAAATGTAAATCGTACAGAAGCAACCAACCATACATGAGTACACCTATAGACAGACTTGATGACTGTGAATTGTGAATGTATCCCCGCAGCTTTCAACCCCCCTTGTTGATGTTTAATAGACTATGTTCGATGGTAAATATCTGTACAAGGCGGTGCATCCCTGGTATAAGTTTGTTTAAAAAACCCTTTGACATCCGTTAAGTATATATTATAGTTATAATTAACATAAACCCTATGCCTATAGCTTGTATAGTTGTATTAGTCATGTTCACCAGCTTAGCTAGCTAAATACCAAATCCACATAAATACCATTAAATCACATTTGTTTTTGCTAAAATCCCATGGAAATCTTATTGAAGTACATTTAAATCAATTAAATTAGCATTTTTTGGATTAGAAAAAAACCTTTAAATCAGTTAACATAATCCAAACCATGCTTTTTATTATGAATACTTATTACAACCATAACCATGGTACCTTTAAAGTACCATCAGAACCTTTGTTGTACCATGGTTATGTTCACCAACGAGACCACCCTGGCAGAATACATGCCAGACGGCCTTGGATCTGCTTCTGAACGTCGCTTCCAGGGGCTCGTGGCCTGGTGAACGACCACAACGGGGACCGACTTAACGGAATTTCATGGGGATCTAATGAGATCTAACAATCAAATGAAAATTCAATATCAGGATATCAATGAATATCTAATATAGATCCTCAATCATTCATTGTTAAATATATCATTTAGATCCTCTGAATATAACAGGATCTTTCTTTATTATTCATATCAGGGTTGCTCAAAGAGTCTCAAAGCACCCCAGGGTACGTTTGGAGGGTCAATTGGGTAAATATAGAGGTCACATGACCTATTTAGCAAAAAATGAAGGCTTCTTAAAATGGGGGATCCCCAAGTCACCATGGGTTTTAATACTAAGTCATAGTCGAATCACTGGATGATTTGGGGGTACATCCATGACTTAGGAAACCTCCATAGATAACTAGCAGGCTTGCTCCAGACACCCCAGACGTACCCTCTGGCAATCAGACATAGCAATGGAAAATCCCAAATTCACAGATGATTTTCCGAACATAGTATGGGAGTTTATTGACGATCTAATGGGAATGTAGTGGTGACTAAAAGGGAATTCATGGGGATCTAATGAGATCTAACAATCAAATGAAAATTCAATATCAGGATACCAATGAATATCTAATATAGATCCTCAATCATTCATTGTTAAATATATCATTTAGATCCTCTGAATATAACCGGAGCTTTCTATATTAATATCAAGGTTGCTCAAAACACCCCAGGGGAGGGTAAATTGTGGCCGCGATTCAGCTTTCGATGGATATGGTACATGTCTAACCAACAAAAGATAGGTAAGTTAGCAAACATAACCATTTAGGCTAAGGATTGATTTCCTGGATATATGACGTACATATATATTTGTTCATTTATTTATTTATACATAGTTAGGTATGGTTTAAACCAATTTATAGCTGGGGGCCCTTTCTGTCTAGCTTCTGTCTAGCTGGTCACAAAGTGCGTTTCCTTCTTCAGCCCATTCCCTTATATCATATGAACTATCACTGTGAACCAAAGAATGTCTACGACCCACAATAGCAGAACAGGGATGATACGCCAACATACATAGAAGATTCCTTTGTATTATATGGGTGTGCTTAAAAAAATGCGCATACCCGGTATACCCAAGTCCACTTTCAACAAGGGGAAATGATGAGAAACAGTGGGATTTGGTATCCTACAAAAAAACACATCATATGGTATTGTCTTTGAAAGCTCATCTATATGATATACCATATCATCTTAATAATATATACAGTAATATACTATATCCCTATATTACAACACAATAAAATAAATCATAATACATCTCATTGATCATAATATGTAGATCCACAATAAATCATATATACAGTAAATATAATACTATACCTTTATCATAATATTATAGACCTACAATATACTAATATACATCTGCACCATGGCCACCATGGATTCACTTTGATGGTATATCCAGCAGGGCCACCGGGGTTGGCACAGTGAACACACTTGCGCCTCATGCACCACTGGCACTTGCGGGACCTTGGCGTCCATCACTGCTGTCACGTAACCGTGCGGCACAATGCCCCCCAAGATAGGTAAACTGGCAGATAATTCCAACAAATAATGTTGGCTTTAAGCTGGATATATATATATACATAACTATGCAGACATACCTTTACATATATATATACACAAACATACGTGTATGTAAATCCATACATCCATATATCCATATGGTGGAATGTGGTACAATATTTGGCATAGTGTATATATAGATAGATAGATAGACAGATAGATAGATAGATAGATAGATATTTACATATCTGCAGTTGAACGGGTAAAACTCAACTGCCTAACACAACTTGGGGCCCACACTGCAGAGGCATTTCATGGTTCTGAGATTGGTCTGTTTCTCAGCAACAAAAAAACAATAGAGGCAACCCATTGGGCCGTCAGGAACCGTGATGCAATGATGCCTGTGCCATACGATATCATTTGCTCCTCCCATCTGGTAATTATCGCAAACTTGTTGCCAGAATGCTATGTTGAAATGTCAATCATCTGTGGCTTATTTAATTTCTGTAAAGATTATGTCGCACCCACGTGGATTCCAAGCATATATTAATAGTAGTAATACTAAAAAAACAATAAAATAAAGATAGCAATAATAAATAATAACAGCCATTGCAATAATCACAATAGTGATAATCACAATCATGAAACAAAACAATAATAGCAACACCAAAACTACTAACACTAAAGTCACTCAATGATAATATTCATAATGGAACGATAGATAACAATAGTAGAATGTTTGGTATTCATTGATGTAGGTAATGGATATTCTAGATAATGGTATAACCATAGTCACTAACAATACGTAGTTATAATGTGATATTCATCATTATATGTGGTCACTAACAATAGTCACTAACCTATACTACAAAATGTCACTAATGGACATCACTAATATCCGTATATCACTAACTATGATATTCATCATTATGATTAGATATATCATAGTCAGCGAAGAATATCATAGTTAGTGATATACGATGTCACTAATGGATACTAACTATGTCACTAATGGATATTTACTAACTTATATATCCATTATGTATATTTGATCCATCTCCAGCCCTTTCCAACATTTCCCAACTCTCTCCAAGGAAGCCGGACTTCAGGAGAGTCCTGTGGATTGGAGGTGATGGAAAATCCCCTGGTGAAGCTGTGGAAAATGCTTCATTTATAGATGATAAACAAGATTCACATGTGATTTTTCTAACAAATCGTTCCATAACCAGCATTTATGGATCATAAAAATGATGATTCAGCTAGAAACACTGGTGGTTGTTACATGAGAAGACAAATATAACACCAATAAATAACCACAGGGTAAGTAGGATGAAGCACCAAATAGCACAGCCGTTGCCTTGTTGAACTGCGTCCCCTGCTCCCACGTGACACGTCGGATCTTAGCGCCCGGTTCGTTCTTGTCACCTGGCCCGCTGGGAATCTAACCTGCACACACACCAGGAATATAACAAATATGTATATATGAATATACAATAGCCAACAATCCGGGATTTGATATGGCCAATCTTAGACACCTGGCATTTGTTTTTTGGCTAGTGAAAGTACATATATACGTATACATACATATACATTATATATAAATAGTATATCGATATCGATTTAATGGCAGCAAATCAACATGTATCAAAATCATCAACTCATCCAAGTTTCACAACGAAAACGGACTATGTTCTGGACTTGGGGATCGTTGGTGAAGGTCGATAAGGACACATTTCTACAATATGCAATCGCGTAGGTGATCACTGTTACGTGGAGGGATATCCAAACTCATATCCAAGTCCATTGACTGCCAAAAGAATGAACATCCAGTGACTGATTATGGTTGGTAGTCAAACATACTACTGGAACCAATGGACCTGGGCAATTGAATGAACACACCAAACACTTGTGGGCTAAACCTGGTAGTGTAGATTCCCAACATTGAAACTGGTAGGTCAACAACCATGCCAAACAAACTCTTCACATCTCTTCACAAGTTTTGCCAAATGGTGGATTCGTATTTTGTATCGAAAGAACAAGATAAGGTGGTGCCCCCAAAACGATAGCTAAGCTGGTGAACATGGCTAAAGTATGACTATGGTTTATGGCAATCATCACTTGAGTTACCTTCTGGTAAACTAACAGTTTGCTATTGAAAATGGATGAAAATGGTCATAGAAATAGTGAATTGTCCCATTCAAAATGGTGATGTTCCATGGTTTTTGTATGTTTACCAGGCCGGGTAATGGGATTTGTAAGCCAACAAACAAAAAACTGCTTCAATGCACCAAGTTGTAGGTCATCACAATAAACAAAAGTGGGATAATCCTCCATGTTACCATTCAATAATCCATTAAACATTAGATTTACAATTATTCATCATCATTTAATCCAATTTCATAACTAATTTTCATAATTAACTATAACATCAATGTTATTCATGGTTTTCCTAATCCATTAACCATCATTTACCATTAACTAAAACAGATGGACGCCGCCTCAACACAAACCATCCATGGCAAATACGTTCAGATCTCAGCAGCCACTTGAAGTGGTTCGCCACTGGGGCTCGCTGTGTATGTTAAATGTGGTGGAATTTGCTTATCACAAAATATTCACATCAATGTCCACAAACTACAAACTATTTGTTTGTGGGAATGTCCACAACTATTTTTTTGGGTGGGAATTTGCTTTTGGGTGGGAATGTGCCACAATATCTGGCTGAGTTAAGAAGTAAGGTTCATGGGAGGATTCCTCATCATCTCCCTCGAAAAGGGTTCTCTTTTCAACCATGTAGATCTATATCCGGAGGAGGGCAACCATGGTTTTTCATAATCCGCAACCATGGTTTAATACATTATGTAATTTAGTTGCGGATTTATTCATTGTTGGAGGGCAAAAAAAAGTGCTGAAAATTGGACTTCATCACTTCATCGTCGAGACATTCCAATACTCGTCGGTCAAAAAGTGCTTCCAGGATATGCATGGATGCACTAGATCTCTAGGTCACGTATCCTCCTTAATTTCCAGGTTTCCAATGGTTGCTTCCTCGTTTTAAACGTTGACCCCTCAATGCCTGGTGGAGGTGTTGTGGGCGTTCCCGTGGGTCCCAGCCTGGCGTTTTAACAGTCTCTGGAGGTGCAGTTTCAGTTAGGATCCGTGGTTCATAACCATAGTTTTCTGCCAATTATATATGGGTTATGTATGGAAAGTATACTCTCATTGTACTCCCAATATTCTTGATATTACCATTTCGACATTCGACATGTTGGTTGGTTACCCTCTCGTAACTTAACGTTTGCAGACTGGACAATCACCATGTTTAATTGGGAAATCATCTACTTCCATCCATGTTCCATAGCTATGTAATAGATCACCAGAGGCTACATATTAAGGCTATGGATTATATATACTTAGATGGGAAATAGGATTAGCGATTCCTGGTTAATAACTGGGGTTTTGTTATCCCATATATCCCAATGAAATAATCCATGGCAACTAACTAACTAAACTAACTCCATGGTCCATCTAAGCATGTTTGATAGGTACCCTATGGTAAACTCACAGTTTGCAAACTTGAAAATGGCCCATTGAAATAGTGGATTTACCCATGAATAGCATGGTGATTTCCCATAGTGATGTTATATTTGCCATAGTTATGGATTTTCCCAAGTATTACAATGGTGATTTACCCATGAATAGCATGGTGTTATAAACCGCCAAGTCATGCGGGCTGTAGCCAGAATTTCTAAGAGGTTAGTTCCTTCACGGACCATGCGTTAGTTGTTTTTTTCTTGAGCTAGTTATGAACATTCCTTGAAAATAATATGTATATTATATATACATATATTATGTATATATATATATATTGTATATATATATTATATATACATTGTAATGATCATTGTTTCCCTCTGGCAATCAAACATGGCAGTGGAAAACTCACCATTTATAGATTATATAGAGTATGTTCAATTTCCATGTTTGATTACCAAATGGTATATATATATATATGGAACCCGTTAAAGTACCAGAGTGCTCACCGATAGTTCCCGCAATTAAATCCCAACTGATGGTGGTTAAAGCATGTTAAAACAATGGTGTTAGCAGCGCCGGGTGGGGGTTGATGGTGGTTAAGAAACCCTTGTCCATGAGGCCTATCATGAGGCTGGCTTTCGGATGAACCCATGTTCCTCCACTTCGCTGATTCAACTGCTAGGTCGGCTAGGTGAGAAAGCCGATGATCAAGAGTTCCCAAACAAAAGCATTGGGATAGTGAGAAACCTTGCAAATCTGGTTGGTGGTTTCAACCATCTTGAAACATATTAGTCAATGGGAAGGATTATCCCATATATTATGGAAAAATGTAATCAGAAATGGTTTCACATATGGATCCCCCCAACATAGTATTCCTTGCAAAACCAACAACTATGGAATGTCTTCGGTCCACCAATTTTTGGACATACAGTCGCCAGCTGTTTGATCATGCCCTGAAAAGCATCCAGTCGTTCAAGATTTGACATGCATTCAAAAATAGATAATGATAGATAGACATTTCGATGGATGAATGCAAAGATAATTACATAGATCAATCGATAGATCGATAGATAAATCATGATAAATCGACAGAAACATGGAAATCTCAACATCTAGAGATATCCGATGGTATTCCACCCATAACTGAGCTATATCAATTGAACCACGTCCCGTTTAACCGTCGCAGGGCCTTGCTACATCTGGCTGGCGATGTCGATCCGCACGGGCTCTCCTCTCCTGGTAGCCATGATGATTTCATGGAAAGATCATGGAGGATCATCTCATTTAGAATGGAAAAAAAATACCCTCCAGTAAATTAACATAGACCCTGCCAGATGGGGGTTGGAAGATTAGTTTCCATTACCAATTGGTGATTTTCAAGGTCTATGTTTATTTACCAGAGGGTATATTTCCAATGGTTTGATTTAATGACATATGAATCATCATCCCATTCATGATTGATTTGTTGGTGTTTTTTCTCAATGGGCTTAGAATCTATAAATAGGATGACCTACATTGACCTACTTAGGGGACTGTGATCAGGGTTATGAAAACCAGTTACGAAGTGTGATGATCCTCCAAGTAAACATAATGGGAGAATAGTTATCACTTTCAATATCGTTTTTGGGAATGTCTGAAATGAGGCATACCTCCAAATTTATCCAAACTTGCCATTTCAATAGTATTGCTTTTATCACCATTTGTTTGTTCCCTTTCCATGATAACTTCCCAGAGTAACCTCCATACATGGGCCTAACATGGCCTAACAATAGTATGGATGTTTAATTCTCGGGGAAAAATGCCTTTGACATCGGAGCAACGTGATCATATCCAAAGGAGAGGAGACTACTCCAATGGATTGGAGAGTACTCGTCTGGTTGGTTTTTTATCCCTGGCAAACTAACATAACGAACAGGAAAATCACCATGTTTCATAGCTAAATCGACTATAAATGGCCATGTTCTATAGCTATATTAGTTTACTAGAGGGTATATCCCTGGTCAAAGAGGTAAATGGGCAATGGTGGTTATCACTAGACTGACTCGCTGAGATCTCATTAGGAAGAAACTGAGCATCACACTGCGATGGTTGTCAAACACATCAGCCACGACTAGTAGGATACCCAGCCCAACGAAGAATCCGACATCTGTTCAATCTCAATCCTCAAATCTAAGCCTCAAAAAAACAAAAAAACGCCATCAAACCAACTCAACATGTTTGAAAAAACCACGAACCCTTGAAACACAAAAACTGGAATGACCAGAAACACATACTTCACCCATAATAACACACAATAACATGCAATACTCCAGGCCTCAGCCCGTTCCCGGAGCCGCTTGCGCTCAGCCTTGCGCTCCTGCCGCTGCGGAAGCAGATCGAGTGCCAAGTGCTTATGGGAAATCATGGATCTACGGTGGATATATACTGCTGATAGATGGGTTATAGTTATATAGACTCTATATGACTACTTGGGTATAACTATTAAAAACCTACTTATAACTATAGTGCTGGTATACCTATAGTTTAATATATAGTTAACTTGACTGTATATAGTGCTGATATAATATAACCTATTCAAAATTCATAACTACTTGGCGACTCATCCCATGAATTGCGCACAGGGTTTTTGTCAGATGTTACAAGTTAGCGAATTCAATCCCATAGGATCCATGTATGGTATATATATATATATATAATTATATATATATGCTAACATTGGGGGTATATTGATGGTAAATGTTACCATATAGCATACATGGGTCCTATGGGAATGGACGGTCAACAGGGTGATCGTCCAGCAAATCCAAATTGCTTCCTGTAGCTCGTGACGAATGTACTGGTGGTAGCGCATGGACATCTGATTCAGAAACGCCTGATGGCGATGTGCGATGCCAAAGGGGGCTGTCCGAAAATGTTGCATTGACCGTATGTCCAAAGTGTGGCTCTTGAAATGGGCATAGTGATTGACCATGTGACAACAAAACCAACAGGTCACAAATTCAGTTTCTTATGGAAAGCTGCCATCAAAGGGACCTCCAGCTCATTTTTTCCCTGGGAATTTGTGAGCGTGGGCAACCGGAAAGTCTGATTACAGGTCCAGTTTGGGTCACCTGTGATCATTGTGAGCCACTCAAAATGCTGTCACAATGATGATGATAATGACTAAGATGATGATCATAGTAACTTCGAGGAGGAGGAGGATGATGATGATGATGATAATGATGTTGATGTTGATGATGATGATGATCATCATGATGATGATGATGACGAGGATGATGATGATGATGATGATGATGATGATGATCATGATGATCATGATGATCATCATGATGATGATGATGATGGTGATGGGTATGGGCAGTTACATACAACCACAAACCCTCACTTGTCTCAGCAAAAGCATCAGACTCTAAGCCCGCACCTTGTTGTCTTGTGGACAAATAAAGACTTTGTCCTGCAACGGCTGATACAAGGTATCGACAAATAGGGATAGGTAAGAAAACAACACCTGGTGAACATTAACATAGCTAGGTGGTTGTTCAAAGAAATTACTTGGTTCACAGCCATCCAACAACATCCTTCCATCAATTTACTTGTGGCTTAATTAACAATGCTAAACAATCAAGATCTACAGGAAGGACCCCCTAGTTTGCTCACTTAGGTTCGAACAAGGCGAAGCAGGATGTATGGTAATTTATCTATAGAAGGGGGCACAAACTAACTTTGAACTCAAGAACCCCTTCCTGTGCTCAGCATTTCTGTCTCAGGGGTTGGTAAATGTCCTAATTGAATATCACCCAAATATTGGGGATATGATCTCCAACAGGTGCTTGAAAGTGATGTTCAAAATGCCCAAAGTGGGACATTTACCAAAGCCTGCGTCTCATCCCTTCCAAACCAAGTCCTCTGGGTGCAAATGTTCTAAGCCTTCGCAACGAAAGCGCTGCGAAAACGCTTCATAGCTCCCTTGGGCCATGGCCTGCAGCTCTGCAGGCCCGGAGGAATGACATTTTTTGTGTTGGGATTTAATGATATGTTACCAGCAGAAAAAAATGTGAGGTTAAATTGGACCTAGCTAGGTTAAATGGATTTCAGTGAGGTTAAAATGGAGGTCAAAATGGTATGTTATGTTAACTGACGTTTTAATTAGAGGTCAAATGGATTTCATGGGATTTAGCTAGCTGAGTTGGTGAAGATGACTAGTATCACTAGGGAATATGGCAATTTTAACTATAGTGGGTGGGGTTCAAAAAACAAAATTGAACAAGGGGGCGCCACCTTGTGTTTTTCTTTCAGAACACACTTCTACGTAGACCCTCCAAATACCTAGGAACATGGGTGTTCGATGGTGTTCGTATACCAATTATGACTTCGGACTTTTAGCTCTTTTTGGTGGGTACTTGGAGGGTCTAGGTGCTGTACATCCAAATTGATCTTCTGTCTTTAGTTGTTTTCGTTCACCATGATTTTTGTGCCAATTCAGAAGATAGAATGGTTTATGTTTCCAAAAATGTTTTGTTATGTTGTTGGTCATGTGGTCATTTGATCATGAATTCTGCGCCAATTGGTTATGTTCCAAAAAAAGGTATCTGTTTTTCTGCGGATATACCAAGCGGACATAGAAAATTTCATGTTGGGGCTGGTGATGCACTTGGTCCTGGCCGGAGCCAAGTGGTGACCAGCTTCACCCAATTGGAGGCTTTAGCTACCCTGAATATCTTACACAGTTATGGCCATTTATTAGTTATAACTGGTTATAAATGGGATTATACATTCTATATGATATCTGTTGAAACTGGCCAACCGGTTTGTTGCCTCCAAACTCCCGCTTCCAGGATTAACAAGGGGGCGGAGGAGCCGGAAAAAAGACATGGATAGTGGGGAGGGTCACAAAAGCATCCACACATATCCACCGTGGCAAAAGGGCAGGATGGCCCCTGCAATTGGAGGGCACCCAGAAGTTGCGGCAAGAAACTTTCACCCATTCAACTGCAAATGAATCATCACAATGTCCATGTAAATCCTCATAGTCCTAGCTGTCGGGGATATAAACATTATAAACCAAAAGAGCACTATCAAAAATCAACTCTTCTATTTTGTCCGTATCACCTACAAATGTTGACTCAATGCTCATTTTTGGTGCTTAAGGCCGTCATTTCTCGGGGGGCTTAACCCCCCAGTCGCACCTCCTTTCCAGCTTCCAGTGACAGCAGGTGAAAGCCTGGCAGTGTTCGGACCTGGGCCGCTTGAGGGTGCCACAAGATCAGGCCACAAGTTATGAACCTTATATGTGTTGTAAATCATCGTTTGGGGTATTCTATTAAAAATGAGGGACCAGCATCTCTACAGTAAAATTTGGGGAACAATGGACTGAAGCTCACTAATGACTGATGTTGATTCCACAGTAAATTGCCCGAGCATGGTACCATGCACATTTACAGCAAAAAGTAATGGCCAATCATATTTTACAGTTAGCAATAAGCACTTAGCAGCTCAGCCTCGCAAAAGTAGATTGCACGCGGCGCGTTCAGCTTGATATGGGATTCATGCGGCAGACATGCCGCCGGAGAAGGCCGTACAGAGCCGTGGCAGTCGTAAGGCTCAGTCTGGAATCGTCGGCTCCGTCCAAATAGGAGGCTGCAAAACCATGCATGGTTTTCCCTAGTAAGGGTTGGCTGTGTTTGAATGACGTAGGGATTTCCAATTTTGAGAACTTCAGCTGCCATCCGGCAGCAGCTGCCTGACACTGCCTGTAACCATGTAGGCAGCCATGTCCTTACAGAATGGATGAGATGAAAAAATGAATTCAACATGGATGATGTTCCAGTCTCATCATTTACCCTCTGGTAATTTGTTACAGTTTACAGAAGCCATGGCCTATTTAGTGCGATGACTTGCCGTGCATAAAATGGTGGTTTTATGTGGTTTTCGTATTTATCCTAAATTACCAAAGGGCATTTTATTTTCTAGGGACATTCCATACCAAAAAAGCAAAATATGAATATTACACATTAATACACGCTTATTACCTATTTATTATATTGAGAACTTGGGATAATTTCCTGCAATGTGCTCACCCCCTCTCTCATGTTTGTTGGCGAAAAAAAACCTCCGTTACCTCGTTTCATACATCCATCATAGACCATGGTTAACCAACTTCCAAACCAATTTAGTTAGTGTTTGGGGCCCCTACCTTGTAGCCATGGATGACTTGCAGAAACTTAGAAGTATCACAGGCAATCTATGATAGAAATGAGAGCGTATGTAGCAGCTATAGAATACGTTTTAAAATGCAGCAAACAACACAGTATGTAATACGGGACACTATTGGGTATTGGTATCCAAAAACAGTAAGTATAAAATAGTGCAAGTGGGTTCTATAATTATAGAGAAATATCATGAATGATGTAAGATCAACATATGAGTGGTGATTAACCAAACAAACATATTAGCCTATCAGCAACTATACAGTAAACATTGGGGAAACATATAATGAAACTCACTAATAACATCTAATGACTGCCTTTGACTCCATTAACCGTATACCCAAGCATGCGTATCAACCTGCTCGGCAGCCCGGACGCGATGGGTCCGCTTGATGGGCAGCTTCAGCACCTCGACAGATGATCTTCCAAGAGGGAAACATCAACAACGTCAGGATATCGCCAGGCCAAAAACAAAACACATAGCAAATAGAAAGTCACTGACCCACATTGAATGTCTGTTTACGCGTGCCTTTTCCAGCAAATCCGACCTTGGAGATTCATCGTGTTAACACATGGATTTCCGACCTTTGGGACAGAAGATGGTCCCTGGCAATATTTCATAGTTGCTAAGGCAGAAACTCATATATGCCCATTTTTTGGAATAGAGAACCCCTTCCGACCATGTTTGCCAACCTGGGCAAATGATAGGTCGCTTGGTGAATAGTTTTGTCTACAGTAGTAGTTTGCTTATCACTGTGTTCTGATAAAAATAACTATAAAATACTATAAATAATAGGTGGTTACTAACCTTGGTATTATTACCTATTATATCGCTGGGATCTCCCAGCTATTACACCCTGTTGTGTAGCCTAAGGCCTAAGGCAGTTGCATAAATCACTCGGATATAACTGTAACCTTCATCAAATCACAAGGAAAGGTTAGTATAGGTGGTAACCACTAGTAGTTAGCTAACAAATGCTAACAGTAGTTTACATCACTGGGATATAAAAATCATAACTGGTTGGTGGTTTCAACTCTCTGAAAAATATGAAAGTCAGTTGGGATTATTATTATTCCCAATATACGGAAAAATAAAATTAATGTTCCAAACCACCAACCAGTCAAACATTTGGATTACCCTCTGGTAAATTAACATAGCGAACTGGAAAATCACCATGTTTAATGGGTAAATGAACTATAAATGGCCATGTTCAATAGTTATATTAAATTACAAGAGGATATCTATAATGGTTATCATCATGCTATTAACATCTTTTGGTACATGTTGCCAAAAAAACATTGTTGCCAAATTAAAATAGCTATGGAAAATCACCATGGTTAATGGGTAAATGGACTATAAATAGCCATGTTCAATAATTATATTAAATTACCAAAGGGTATCTATAATGGTTATCATCATGCTCTTAACATTTTTGGTACATGTTGCCAAAAAAAAATGTTGCCAAATTAAAATAGCTATGGAAAATCACCATGTTTAATGGGTAAATGAACTATACCCTCCAGTAAATTAACATAGACCCTGCCAGATAGGGGTTGGAAGTTTAGTTTCCACTAAAAAAAATGTGATTTTCAGGGTCAAGCTGTTAATTTACCAGAGGGTAAATGAACTGGGACATAAGAATCATGACCTAACTGCTAATCACTGTGCATGGAAAATCCCAGTCGTCAGCTGCACCAAGTCGTGGGCCCATGGGATGATTCTCCAAGATGTCTGGATGACTTGATGACTGGAACCACCCGTGGCGCAAACGATTACAAAACAATGTGGAAAGCCATGAAAACCCGCGGTTTCTCAAAACATGTTCTAGAAATGGTAGGGTTTTCCACATCCTTCCGTATGTTACAGGAGGGTAGCCATCTATAGATAGTGTAAGCCCATCCCCCATTCATATTGAAACATCCCCATTGCTACCAAAACATGTATACAGTATACATGTATCAAAAATTTGTTATTAAACCACAGGTCAAATGGACAACATGGTGATTTCCATGGGATTTAACCTTCTTGACATATATTGACATTAATATTGACCAACAATCTGGGTAAATTATAATATTTCAATATATTTCACTACCCTGAGTAGTTCGGCCATTTTGGGATGATTCCCCTTACTAACTATGATTATAGTGAGGTCGCAGTGAGGTCGTTATAATTTACCCAGAACACTGTAAAAACGTGTAAAAAGAAAAAAGGACTTCGCTTGGCGTCCGCACGGGACAGAACTGTGCCTCGGTGCCAGGCTCATCGCTGCTCAGCAGAGCCTGGCAGTGTTCGAAGGTGGGGATGGAATGCGTACATATATATATATGACATATATATATATATGTACCATTTATGTACCATTTATGTACCATATATGAAGTGGAGATATAGAATGTTCTATATCTTTATGTACCGAAAATGAATTGCAATAGCATGTGTTTAAACAACATGTATGACTGGTTCATCAAACTGATCTGAATAACTAGATTTACATCATGGCTATGTATATAAATATATATATATATGATATACAAACAGTTGGGAGTTTATGCCGCACTGATGGGGGTATCAACATGCAGCTTACTACCAGCTATTTTAGTGCGAACTAAATGATCAAGCCCTGGATGTTCTGTGAATGGATTTGTCTGAAGATTAAAAGAAACAAAAATTATGGTTTATCACCATTACCCTCTGGTAAACTAACATAGCGAACTGGAAAATCACCATCTTTAATGGGTAAATCAACTATTTCTATGTGCCATTTTCAAGTTCGCTAACTGTTAAATTACCGGAGGGTACCCGTGAAACTTGCCATAAATTGGGCTATCCCCATGGTATCAAAGAAACCCAACATGGGATTCATGGGATAAGAACAAAAGGTACAGTCCAATCTTTACCCACCTCAAATGGGCAACCAAACCTATCAAAAGTTTGCAAGTGGGCAACTAAATGGATGTGAATTTTGCTATCCATATGGAATAATCAAAGCTTTTAACCCATCCCTACATCATAGTTAGTTTTGATTTTTACTTGAAGTATCAATGAAATCGACGGTAGCCAGATGGACCATGGAGTTGGTTACAGTAAATGATTAGGAACTGTGTTATATTCCTAAATATCTGAGTATATAATCCACTTACCAAGCAGTCAAACAATCACATAGTCATAGCCCCTCTACAGGAAGGGTCCACGTTTGAAGTTGGCTTATAACCCCATCTAACTATAGATATGTCTTCCAAACATGCTAAATATTAAGGGTTACACTATCTTGGTGGCACTTCAATGATTTCCTTAAAACCATGGTTTCTGTTTGCGATGTTCAGATAAATCACTCCAAAATCATCCACTGATTATGGAAAAGAATATGTTTTTTTCCCTCCTAGGATTGGATATGGGATATGTATCATCTGTATAGAGCATTTTTCATGGCTTTCAATGTACAGGCTTTCCTTCACCCACAGCACCTCCAAAGTCATCGGAAGCTGCACCGTAGCGGTCATGGTCGTTGTGTTTTCGTCAAGTCGGTTGGTCGGTTGTGTTTTTCCGACTAACCGGGACTGGGTACGAGTGGCATAGGTCTGGTTTCCATGATTTTCGATTGATTGTTGAAATATACGTGTTGTAATGTTTATTCAGCATTACAATCAGCAGTACAATTTCCAATATTCAAATATATGACATTTGATTCAATGCTAATTATAGCATTACAATGATTCACAATTATTCAAATGATATTCCTTTTCAAACGGAAAATCGTTGTCCATCACTAATTAAGCTTTCTTGACCAGAGGGTAATCTTCCCGTAAAATCCGTAAGGGAGAACGATGCCACAGAATCTGGATCGTTTCCCAGGTCTTGGGCATGGAATTGACCCCACTACAGCACGCCGAGATAGCCGAGAACACTGTTGGTAGCTTTCCCCAGGGGTCGTTGACGATTGGCTACTTAAAAGTTGCAATAAATGCAGTAGGTCATACTGTAAGCTTTTATGCCAAGGATGATTCGCCAAGCTCAAGACCATGACATGATGGCAAGTTATGTAGCTTTCGACTTGAGCCGCAACAAGCAGCGTGGCATGACAATGAGCAGTTGAAAAATCTGTGTAATTGGCTGTCGTTTGGTACCCTCTGGTAATTTAACATAGCTATTGAAAATGGCCCATTTATAGTTGATTTTCCCATTAAACATTGTGATTTTCCATAGCTATGTTAGTTTACCAGAGGGTAACCTAGTTTGGTAGTTGATGGAAACACATTTCGGATCCTCTCGGAATAGCACTACACAATTCATTAAACTCATTGAGCGAACTACTACATACTATGTTCACCATGGTTCGTTCACTAACTTTAATCCATGCTTTCACACGTGATGTTGTCTTTTATCCTAGTCCCATGATTGTTTGGTAAATCAACCCATCATATGACGGATTTATATCCATTCATATAGCGCATATAGACTGATTTGTCAAGTCTAACTTGAAAATGCATTTCCCATACTGTAAAATTACTATTTATGCGCATAAGGTGTTTCCCACCCAGAAAAAGTAGATTTCCCAGCCACCGCTGCATATGGGAAAAGTTGGTTTTGTTATTTCTAGATATAAACAAGTAGGAGTTTTATCGTGGATATATCCATGATGATAATGAATCGGATGGTTCTCTAGTTTTAAAACCCAACTCATTAATTATCGGGCCCCTGTCTCTGCTTCAATCCACACTTTGCTGCATAAACATCATCATTTTCTGATGCTTTCCCAACCTCCATCGCCGCGGTGAACTTTTCTCGGCTCGCCTTCAGCGATCGATCGGCTGACGTTTCAGGCGCACCTTTGGAGCAGGGCGCGGACTCAAATAGGGCCACCAATCCAGCACCTGCCACACGGCTGTGGGCCATGGGAGGTCCAAAAAAAATGGGCCATGCGCTTAGTAATCAGTATCTGGTTTTGTATCCTCAAACATGACATAGTATTTTGATGTTTTTTGTTTAATCCGCTTACAAACCAGTTAACTCATCCTGTGGCCCGATCTAAGTAACATCCACAGTGAGTTTACAAACCGATTGACACACCGTTTTTCTCTTGAATGGGGATGTCTAATGTTTTTCTTTGCTGGGAACTACACTCTGGCAATCAAACAAGGCTCGGTCGGAAATGTTTCATTTTGAGAGTCATCCATAAATCTGGTTATTTATTGGATGTTTATTGTTGATTTCCAGCCAAATGCCAGTCCCACAGAATACATGATATTTGCACATGGATGTTTTAGAACGCAACACATGGGAATGGGCTCGTGTTTTTTCTCTATATCTCCATGGCAAAAGATAAAAGTTCAAATCGTATCAGACTATTCTCGATCAGTTAGTATGTATTTGGATGATTGATGTTTGTGTCTTCATAGTTTAAGTATTTTACCACAATAACACCAGAATAGCACCATTAAAACAGAGAAAACACATATGTTTTCATGGTTGAAATATCCATCAACCTGCTTAAAGCTCCCATTTTCATTGGTTTCACCTCCATGTTTTGCTGGCGAAAAACCTCCCCTGTGTACCTGGCCTGTTTGGCACAGACCTGTGGCTGCATCTCTTCGCGGCTGGTGGGACATCTCCAGGCCTGGTGAAGCAACTTCTTCGAAGATGTTCGAAGACCATGTTTCATTGGATTGGTTTAAGGGAAAATCTTAACCGGAAACCATGGTGTTTACCATCAAATATGACTGGCTTTCCGGTTTCAATTTTCCCATCATCCAATTCTATGAATGTTGTATCATACCCAGATGCTCCATGTATGGTGTATTTACCTACAAAACTGGGTGATTTTCAGGGCAAATGTTGGTAAATATTCCAGCACCATGGAGCATATGATATAATACATGTAAAAACAAAAATGTATACCATGTTCCTGAAATACATGAATTACAATATATTAAAAAAAAACACAAAACTTGATACTGGCTACCATGTTCTTGGAATATCACATTACTATAGTCATGCTGGAGTAGAACACATATGGAATTGTCAAAAACAGTCTTCACTCAAATGGGAATATGTGTAAAAATCCCATATTATATCTATTTCAGGATGATCGTATGTAGATATACAAACATACAGGGATTGAATGGAATTTCAATAGGATTTAATGTACTTAATGTGATGTTATGTGTTTTTCCACGATCCTCCAAGTAACCGTGAAAGTTACAGTAGTAGTTTACTCTATAATTTTCATGAGTATATTATTCAACTTTATATAATTATGGGTTTGACTGGAATTTCAATCGTGACATATCAAAATATATATTTTTTTTTGACACCATCTATTGCAGTAACGGTGAAGTGTTGTATTAGACCTTTATAGAGAATAGATATCATCTTGCGAAGTGCAGCCACCAACAAACTCAAGGATACCATCAGCACATTGCAGTTCACAGTGACCGTTTTGGTGCGGTCACTTTGTACGGTCTGAGCGCAATAGTTTTTGTAAAACGCACCATGTTATCCATGTTGTTTTTTTTGTGAAACAAGTTAGAGATATGGGGATGGGTTAAGTCACCTTGTACCCCATGTAACATCAAAATAGCTGGGATTTACCCTCTGGTAATTTAACGTAGCTATTGAAAATGGCCATTAATAGTGGATTTTCCCAATTAAAATGGTGATTTTCCATAGTTATGTTAGTTTACCAGAGGGTATGGATGTTCATCCAACGAAAAATGAACAGAAGGCTGGCCTCGGTTCTCCATTCCTTGGCGGAATGGCACCAATGGAGCGAAAGTTGTGATGGTGTGGTCGACTTTGTCTATCTAATGTGGATCTATAATAGATGTAGACATATAGATACAAGTACAGATTTCGGTATGTATACATATAAACACATATATATATAAGTATATAATTATATAATTATATAATTATATACTTATATATATACATATATATGTGTGTTTATATGTATACATAATAATTCCTAAAGTTTCACATAAATTATCCAGAACATACAGGACCCTTGCCTATATTACAGCTTTATCTATGAGGTTCAGACATGCAACATGTTCCTTTCCTGGGATCGGGGTATAGAACCAGTTATCCCACTCGCCAAGATGTCCATGGGACGGGTCGTGGAGTTCCTTGAATGGTTGGTTGCTGGTCATAACCCAAGAGATACCCCATCATGTTTGGGGATATCAGCCACTTGCTCATCCAATAAACGAACCCGCATGGCACATAGAGCTACTGGCACTGGTACCCCCACATGTCAGAATATAACGTGTCTGGGCGACTGAAAATGCTGGGACGTTGGATCAGAGCAGGGAAAGTGAGACCTGATCTGTCATCTGACCCACATGCCACAGCTATTGAAACTTAAATTATGGCCGAGGACAAATTACTTGCGAGGGACGAGGTGTCACCAGTCCATTCTAGCACCATTGGGAAGCAATTAAAAAGGCTAGATATGGTTGGATACGATCAGGTAATCCCTGACCAGTCTTACCCTTAGACACTGCCGAAAGGAATCACGACTGGGCCACCCAGCAGGTTTTCGCTGAGTGATGAACCGATCCCTCAGTAGCTGGGCCATCCGGCTTCAAAAACGGCCCCTGTGGCAACATGTGGAAAAGGGATTCACCCCCATTGATCCAACTGTTTATCATTTAGACTCTTATTCATAAACTTTAAATAAGTTAGGTTATCTTAGGTTTCACTAACCGCTTACGTCCCTAATATTTGCTGTTGGTACCCGTCACAGTCTGTTTGGTTTGAGTCACATATATATTATTTACAGATTTATACCTACAGGCCTACAGGGTAGTGCAATAGATAGCTAAGTTTAGCTATAATATTATCTACTACTTACGGTGGTTACTAGGACTACCTTGATTTGATATGATTTGATCATGTTTGATAATCAATTGTGATTATGTTATATGTTACCACATAATTGTGATTGTCAAACAATAATTTGCTAGTAGTCTTGATTATGTTTGGTAATCAAAATTGACTATCTTTTGAATCTTTTGTCATTCTTTTTGCACTGCCATTGTGGCGACTCCCGTGTACCTCAAATTCTGATCCGCGAGACCTGGGACATCGGATAGATCCATATCCGAACCCCTCTCCTCAATGGCTTTGTTAAAGGCCACATCTACAGGAAACCACGCTCTTTCTCACTATATATATATATAGGGTTTTCACAATTATCTGGTTGGTGGTATACCTACCCCTCTGAAAAATGATGGAGTTCGTCAGTTGGGATGAAATGAAATTCCCAACTGAATGGAAAGTCATAAAATTCCATGGTTCCAAACATTTCCAAACCACCAAGCAGTTATAGACCAATCCAATGAGACTGAAACAGCGATGAAAAGCTTTGGGCTTTCCGGCTTTATCCACGGACCATCCAAAGTGGACCTTCCAGTGGTCCAGAACTCTCCACCACCTTGGGGAAGGGTAGCTAGTTCATTGTAGGAAAACCCAGCTTTATCCACATCCACTCCTGGTTGGTGGTTGAGCCACCCCTCTGAAAAATATGAGTTCGTCAGTTGGGATGGTTATTC